TTCTTGTTCTTCTCTTCTTCCTCTCCTTCTTCCTCTCCCTTTCCCTCTCCCTCTCTCACTCCCCCTTCCCTGTCCCTCTCCCACACTCCCTCCCCCTCTTTGTCCCCCTCCTCCTCCTCCTCTTCCTTCTTCTCTTTTTATTTTTTTGGTGGAACCAGGGATGTCTTACTTCTTTCATCATTCTTTTTCCAATCAATCCTTATCACTGATATGAAAATACTGCACTTTGCTGCCTGGTGGGCCTTGTATTGAGAACAGTGACAAGGCCCCACATTAGCTGCTATTGGGACAGGACATGACTTGCTTTTCTGGTTTATCTTCAAGTCAAATAGTTTAATAATATATCCTTGACATATGAGCTGAAGGAACCACTAACAGGCCTGATGTGCTGGCATGCCCCCTGATGTGTCTTTCCTATACTTTCTTGAGCAAAAGTATCAAAAACAAGAAGAGGGTATTGGATGATCTAAGAATGTGGTTACTTGTGTATATGTACATGGCCAGTGTGGGCAGTGATTTGAGTAGGACTCAAGCCTAAGGGCAAAGATTTTGTGGGACCATATTGAGTGGGGCAATGCCTTCGGATGGGAAGGAATATTTGGATGTGCTGATGGTAGTTGTATCTAGAGAGGATGGAAGGGGCAGAGAAGATGGAATTGCGACCCTTTCTCCTCATGCACACCTCATAGACTGTGTCTGACACCACTGAGGGCATCACCTGCCAACTTTGGAAGACATCTTTGTCTTCAGAAGGTCTTGGAGGCCTGGGTGCAAACAACCTTACCATAGAAATCAAGTGGCCTGACTTGTACAAAATTGGTGAGGGGCTTTTTTTCCCCCCATTTCCTTATACAAAGCAAAATTTAAGTAGCCTTGGAATAAAGAGGATTCACATGATCTCAGCCGAGTTTTAGATCAGTGTCATCCCAGAGTCGAGGAGCAGACAGTAGCATGGTGCAACCCCCAAAGAGTGTCACTGGTGAAATTTCTAGTAAGCAACAGCAAAATCAATTCTTCCAAGATTCTCTTTGCATATTAGTACTAATCTAGGAAATTTTATTTATTTATTTATTTATTTATTTATTTATTTTTACTTATTTATTTTGGATTTTTTAGGGAAGGGTCTACAGGGTGTTCAGGGTCTCACTACTAGACTGGACTCATAGTGATCCACCTGTTTACAGCCTCTCAAGGGCTGGGGTTGCAGGTGCCCACCACCATGCCTAGTCTCAATTGCTGGGGGGGCTGGCACAGCAGGCCTGGGGATCAAACCCTTGGCCCCTATACCTGCTTGCAGGTGCTTTAATCCATTGAACTATTTGGCCAGCCCTCGGGAATTTTAATTAAAAATAAACCTATGACACATTCTAGTTCCACTATAGGCCCTATAATGTACATGTAGGGCAGTGTAGGAAGTAAAATTGTCCCTAAGTCTTAGTGAGCGATTGGTTCCAGGACACACTGCAGGCATCAAAATCTGCAGTGCTCAACCCCCTGATATAAAATGGCATAGTATGGCGTATGTCCTATATGTAACGTTCTATTGTGTTATTGTTTGAACCTAAGGACTTGAACATGCTGAACAAGGATTCTATCAGTGGCATACAGCCTCAGCCCTCCTTCTGTGTTTGATTGATTGATTGATTGATTTTTATGCATTTAGTACAAGGTCTATAGGGTTTAGCTACAAAGGTCAGACTTGTAGTGATCTTCCTGTTTTCAGCCTCCCAAGCACTGGGTGCACCATCACGCCCAGTCTCAATGCACCCAGGGGTGGACCAGCACAGCACACCAGAGATCAAACCCAGTCCCTGTGCCTGCTTAAGCAGGTACTTTAATCTGCTGAGATATCTGGTCAGCCCTCCTCATATGTTTTAAATCATCTCTAGATGACTTTAAATGTCTACTGGAATATGAATGTTCTATAACTAGTTGCTATACTATATTGTTTAGGAAATTATGGTAAGAGAAAAAGAGTCAATTCATGTGTAATGTTTTCTTGAATATTTTCAATGTATATTTGGTTTCATAGAGGAAAAACGTATAACTGTGCAGGGCTGCATGTATACTTTTAGTAATAGCTCTTAATTCATTAGTTGCATTCATAAATTGCTAAATCTTTGGGAAATATTACCTACAGTTGTTTTTATTTTTTTTTTCACCTTTTTTTTTTTTTTTTTTTTTTTTTGCAGAATCAGGGATTGAACTCAGGCCTTTGCACTTGCCAGGGAAGCGCTTGTTCTACTGAGCCATCTCCCCGGCCCCTCCTACAGTTGCTTTTAAAGAGAGGTTAGTTTTACAGATTTGTCTTGGTAACTAGACATCAATTTTTATGGTGAATACTCTGAATTTTAATATACACTGGAACGTTGTTTCTCTTTATTAAAAAACCCTTTTAAAAATAAACGTATTTTCCACATTGTGAGCATAAAGTAATTTAAAATTTTCCCCATAAGGGGACAATACATTCTGAGGCTGCACATAAAATTAATGAGAAGAGTTAATAGGAGTTAAGAGAGAAGTAGAACTCATATCCTCTTTTCTTTTTTTCCAGAATATTCTCTAATTTTAATATTCAGAAAGAAAAGAAATTAATTAGAGAAAAATTCAGTGTGTAGTTTAAAGGCATTCAACTTGTAATGGAATTCTTGGCAAAGAATTGTTATGTTAGTTACTTTTTCTTAATGAGTACAATGGACACAAAGCTAGAAAAGTTAAAATTTTGTATGAAAACTTTGTGTAGTATGATATTTTCATTGTTATATGTTTTTGTCTTCAGTTTTTCAAATGATTCAGAAACGCCATCGTGAAGAAATGGTACCTTTTTGTTTTGTTCTTTTGGGTCTTCTGAGTTGTCATATATTTAATAGAATTGCTTTATTTTTTATTTTGAAGAAATTTAGTTAACTATGAATTTAAATATGGAATAAATCTTAAAAAATGTCTACCTATTGCTATTTTAAAATATGAACATTCAGGGCCTGGTTAAATAGCTCAGCAGCCTAAAGCACCTGCTTAGGCAGGCTCAGTGACCAGGCTTCGATCCCCGGCATGCAGTCCCAGTCTCGCCCCCCGCCCCTCCCGGGATGCGCTGAGACAGTGATTTGAGACTGGGTGTGGTGGCACACACCTGTAATCCCAGCGCTTGGAAGGCTGAAAAACAGGAAGGATGCTACGAGTCCAATCTATGTACTGAGACCCTGTCATCTCTGAGCTAAAAAATACATTACAAATAAATAAATAAAAATAAAATATGAACCTTCAAAATAAAATAACATAAATTGCAAAAATCATATCTGGAAGGATGAGAGAACTTTGAACTATTCTCCTGTAAATATCTTGATCATAAAAACATAGCAGGTGAGTTCAAGGACAGCAGGGCCTGCCTAACACCATGTGGAGCGGGCGTGTGGAATGGGGTGCTGCAGGCTTCTTCCCAGAGTGATTCTCGCTCCCTGTCTCCATAATGCTTTTTAAATGGCTGTGTGGATGATTACAACCCAAGGATACCAAGAAAATTTTGAAACTGGTTATAACGTATTATTTTAATTGTATCAGTTTATCATCTACTAATATGGTTCAAATCAAGTCATGTTAATATCTCTTTCAAAGTGTTACATTGGGAGTCTGAGGTCATTTTCATGTGCCCTTGATTCTCAGGTACAGGCTGTCTCCACCACGTGCAGAGCATTTCTAGAAAGGAAAGCTGAGCAATTCAGAGGCTGTTTGATTCCTAAGTTTCTTTTGCTTACTCACACTTCAATCTCGTTGTCTCTTAAAATGCAATAATTGCCATTAAAAGATAAGGTAATTACTGGTGCAGTAAGTTCCCTAACGCTGCCTCAGAAATGTACAGACATAGAGTATTTTAACAGAGAATGAGAAGCAATGTTACTGTAATTTTTAATGGTTACAATTTATAATAGAAGAATAGAGTTTTGAAAAGCACTTCTTACAATATAAAACTCGAGGGGCCAGGGAAATAGCTCAGTGGAATAAGTGCTTGCCTGGCAAGTGCAAGGTCCTGAGTTTGATCCCTGGCATCACCACCA